AAAAATACAAGACCAGCATAGCGATAAAAATGACGTATAATAAACATGGCATACATATTTCTCAACTTACTGTGTTGCGTAGTACGACAAGTATGCAGGAAAATTATGTTTATTAATCTTATATATATCTTACACGCAATACATCACAAGTAGTATAGACTTGGAAATTATTCTTTTCTGACTTTAACATGGAAATCAAAAACTTTAGTGCTTCATATAAATTAAATCAAAACGTATTATATATTGTGTAAAATATTTAATGTTCGTGCGTTCGCGTCTCAATATTTGTAGAATCTGAATAGAGAGTAAGGTTGAAATGAAAACAGAAATTTTAAGATATAATGTTACTATATTACTATATTTACGAAAAACTACATAATTGTTATGCTCACAAGTACGTCGCACTTTTGATTATACATCATATGTACATATATATTTCATTTTTGAAGAACGTTAAATGCAGAGTATGATGTTTTTAAAATCTGAAACAAATTAGAAAAGACATTAATATAAACAATTATAAACACTTGCTAAAAATAAGGACGACGTATTTTTGCATGTACGTAACAAATATTAAATCCTAACGTTACACGCACAAAATATTTTTATATAGTATAATATGTATTTTTATGTAGTATGATATGTATTTAGTCCATGTAATAGGATTACTAACATTGCTGTAAGATTGAAGAGATATAGTTATCAAGAAACTGCTAGTGAACTTTATAGGAACTGTACTACGTATCATAATCATCAGCAATTCTTTTTTTTCGTTGATTGACAATAATGGCCAATCCATACGATATATTGTGTCTGCTATGCTCATACTCTGTTAACATAAAAATAAAGTTATTATTACATATAATGATATATCAAACAATTTTGATATTATCGGTTTTATACACATGCATATGCATATTTAATATACGCGTACGCATATTTATTACACGCGTATGCATATTTAATTTTATTTAATTTTATTGCGCACGAATAAGAGGATACAGTATTAAGAAACTACGATATAATTTATAAAATTAACGTAAATGGTGAGACATCAGTTTAGCAGCTGTTGTGAAGCCTCCCAGATAGCTGATCATAAAATACGTAACATGACAAATAATTGAATATGGACATTACATTAACACAAAACGATAGAATGGCAGTTAATATTAACGCAGATCAACATATTAAACGCGAAGTAACATAAACGGAAACACATATATAGGCGCAAATACAGCGGCACGGACAACGCAACGAGCATACTATAAAGAAATCGACTAACTGCAACGATAGAAGAGCAATCAGAGACAGTTGGATATATGATGGATATATGATGGATAAAATCAGCCGCTGCGACCGCATCGCGGAAAGAGGACAGAGAGGAAGATGCTTTTATGGATGGATAGAATATTGAAGTATTTTGCAACATGAATTACCTTAAGTATTACTTCGTTTCCGGACCAGCAGTAAACGAAGATTTGTACTAACATGCAAGTGGTGTATACTAATAAAGACACAGTTGTAGGCAGCTCTCTAATATGCATTGATAAGCAATACACACTTGTACATAATATCAATATGCTACCAAAGAATTGAACGAAGAGCACTTGATTGAATATAATGTTTACCCTTTTGGCATATCTGTAATGATTTTATGTTAGTCTAAGCTTGCATTGTATATGAATAGAACAATTAGTACTTTGATGTATAATTTTATAATATTATTTTTATAACTTTAAAATTTGTATAAAAATTTTAGAGCATGTGTTGTTTAAAACTCGAACTGAAACGCAACATGATTCTAAGCACCTTGTATTTAAATTTAATTTTTATTATCCTGTACAATTTATCACAAAATCTATCTCAACCAAAAAAAAAAATAATTTCAATATTAGTGGAATCCGTTAAATCTTAGAGGATTTTATTCTTGTATATGGCCTCAAGAGGAATTCTCTGAAATTAAGAGGAAAATATTCTGTGCCCAATATTCTAATAGTTAGAATAATT